CGCGGGCGGATGTGGGGTCCGGAGCCCCGGGCCGCGGGCTCCCACTCTGTCCCCGCGGCGGCGGCCGCCAGGTGGGGTCGTGGGGGGATCGCGGAGTCCGGTTTCTGGCTGCGCGCAGTAAACACTCATTAAAGATGGAGCGCTTAACGGGAGGCCGTGTGCGCGCGTGTGTGCGCGTGTGTGCGCGTGTGAGTGTTCCCGGGCGTTAACTTGGACGCCCGCCTGTGCCCGCGTGCAGCGCCTTCGGCCCCCGTCGCCTTCGCCCCGGCCGCGCGGTGCCCCGAGCGCGCGTCGGCGGAGGGGAAGGAGGCCGGGCCCGACTTTCCGGTGCGTCTGCCCGAGCTCGCGGCCGGCGCCCGGCGCGCCGTGAGTCTGCGAGCGTGTGACTGCAGGGCGGCACGTCCTGGTGGCTCCTCGCAGGCCGCACTCTTGCGGCTCACGTCTAACCCTAGACTTGCTTTAGGGGACCCCCGCCCCCCGCCACCGGCCTTTGGGTGCGTTTCTAAGTCTGCGCCCGTGCGAACTCCGGAGCAAACTTTCCCTCTCACCCCTCGCCCCTCTCCTGTCCTAAATGGAAAAGAACGTGCGGAGAGGTTCACCAGGTAGACGGGACTCCTACGAAGGGTTTGATTCCGGGGGCGTGCAGTCCTTAATGCCGCAGGTGTGTTTTGCTTCCCATTTTTGGTCATCTATAGGCACGTCGCTGTGATTTTAAGAAAAAAAAAAAAATTATTTGAAAAGTGCAGTTGAAATCAGTGTGGTTATACTAGTTTCCTCATTTGCCGTTAATAAATTGTCCACGTTGATAGATTCGAACGTGTGGTGAGAAAGATGTTTTTTCTTAGAGGATTTATGTGTGTGTACGTGCGCAAGGGTAAGAATAAACGGTAGTTACGTTTGCCCACACTAGACTTGGAGATTTATGTGGACTAATTTTGTAGTTGAATATTTGTATGTCACATCCCAGGCTACTGGCTGAATGTTCTGCATAAAAACTGAGTGAATTTGGTATTTGAGAATGTAGCGTGAATGTATGTTGGCTGCAATTTTTAAAAAATACATGATCTTTATGACAGTTTCATATTCCCTGGGGAAAACTGCAAGGAGACCTGAACTGAGTAGTTCTTAGTGGAAAATCTGGACTGGGGACGCTCGTCTTTACCCCTTTCATTCACCTTATTTAGGGCCAGTTAGTGGAAACCATTATAAGGAATCTTTGTGGCTTTAGTTTATCTATTGCTGTTCTTATCCGGAGTCAGTCTTGTACCAGAAGTCGTGGAAAGAACGTGTGATCCTCCGCGTGCAGAAACCATCAGAAGAAGGCTGTTGCCGTTTATTTCCCTCTGGAGTATATACATGCGGAGATGAGGGAGGAAACAGGGATTTTGATTTTCTGCAGATACAATGAATTTTGAGGTTTTTAGTGTGATTCAGTAGATCTTAAAAGTATTTATCTGTGGTTTCTCTACTACCTATGATTCATTATAAAAATTTATGAGTGAAGGTTGTTGAGAGGAAAGATTATACTTATTGGGGGGAGCGAACACAGGACTAAGTTTATATAATTTTTGTATATTTAGATTTTCCTGAAGAATTTTAAATAGCCCGCGTTCCCCTTAATTGTAAAAATAGTTTGAAGTACTCTCAATTTCTAAAATCCATTGGGAATTTCGCCTCTTAATATTTTTAAAGTTTGACAGATACTGAAAACATTGCCCTCCCCCTTTGGGTTACATATGGTGGAGTCTCCTCTGTTTTGCCAGGAAAGTTAACGTATATTTTTTTCATTTTTGTTCATCATTTACAAATTAGATGGTATAGATTCTAACAAATAGATCTCAAGAGCTGGATTCAATTAGCAGCTTTTTAGGACATAAACATTAAAGGGTAAGATGGAAAAGATTGTTTTGACTGACTGGATAAATGACAGGGCTGTGTTTGATGTGAGTCCAGGAATTGGTCTGGAGCTGGTGCCCAACTTCTCAGTCCATCTCGAGAAGCCAAATAAAATATTTAACCTAGGCCTCATTTTGTTTTTTAAAAAAGTTGATTTTTTGTTAAGACCTTAAGAAATGTTTGCCATACCTTTAGACTAAGTGTTTAACAGTTCATTTAGATCTAGGTTATCTAATAGAGGAAAAATCACTTTTAAAAAAGGCAGATATATCAGTGAATTTTTATTCGGTTTACAATACACGGGCTATAAGATGTTTTAAAATTATTGTTCTTTGCTTTAATGCTACACTAGTATTTTAAATTTATAGAGTGCTTTTGATTCCAAGGGGCTGTATGAACTGTAGTTAATTATATCCTTAATGTGGAATTGCCCATTTGCTAAAAGGTGTTAACTCTTGTACGGTGATACACACATCAACTGGAAGGAAATTTTGAGCCAGGAGTTTTCTGCCCACAATAGAATTGTTTTTCCATGTATTATGCCTAAAATGATAATCAATTAGTGAACTATGTCATTTGTTAGTGCTGAGAAGGTAGGGCTAATCTAATACCAAATTTGAGATGGGTGGTTGAAATCTGATTAGATCCATCAGACTATTTCTTGTTCTTTATGATACATTAACACTTGATCATTAAAATGGGCTATATGGTATTGTTATCTTCAACTAGTATTTTTAGAGTAAATTGGGTTATACAGTGTGTAATTTGTGTAGTATTGTTTTGTATCTGTTACTTTTTTTTTTTTTTTTTGTCTTTTTGAGACAGGGTCTCACTATGCCATTCAGGCTGGCCTTGATTTCACTTTGTAGCCCAGGCTGGTCTAGAACTTGCCGTGATCCTCCTGCCTCAGCCCCCTGAGTGCTGGGATTACAGACATGTGCCATCACCCCCAGTTTTTGTTACTTACTTTTCTTAATTCAGTAAGAAATGGTTTAGATGAAAAATATTCTTTATATTTGGTTACATAAAAATAGGATAATTAGCTGGGTGTGGTGGTGCGTGCCTGTAATCCCAGCACTTGGGAGGCTGAGGCAGGAGGATGGCCATTAGTTTGAGGCCAGCCTGGGCCACATACTGAGTTTAGAGGCCAGCCTGAACCACATAGCAAGACCCTGTCTCAGGAAAACCAGAAAACAAACAACAACAACAAAAATGGGGTAATTTTTAATACCGTTGTTGTTTTTGAAAACCAAGGCTGGAAAAACCAGTTTAGTGTAACTTCTAATATGTAAAATTCTTAGGTATGGAGAATTAGTAGATTTCTTCCTCAGAATATTTATTTCAGACCTTTTGTAAATTCAGTGTTTTTGTTTGCTTCTCCTCATGTTATTAATTTATAAAATCCTTGGCAGTAGGGAGGCCTATTTGGTATATAATTTAAGAAAAATTAATTTCAAAATCTCACTTTAAATATGCTGGTATCTTTTTTTTCTTTTTTTTTTTTTTTTTGAGGCAGGATCTTGCTTTGCAATTCAGGCTGGCCTTGAGCTCACTTTGTAGTCCAGGCTGGTCTTGATGTATCTTAATATAGATTCATTGTACATTTTATTGACACAAGGCTTTAAAAATTATAACTTGTTGCTTCTTGCAATTTCCAAGTGTATATATACTGTATACCCTAATGACTTCTTATAGGGGTGTAAGTAATTGATTTGAATCTCCCCAATTCTTTTTTTTTTTTTTTTTAACTCTGAGGAGAAGCCAGTGTGGCTTCGTTTTTTCCTTTTCTCTTAAATTCTTTCACACAGTGTAAGATGCCTAAGTGTAGCATGGTTTTCTTGGTGAGTAAAGTGTGTATGTTTGTGTGCATGTGTTATTTTAATCATGGCTTCTCCTTTGTTCCTGTTGGTTGAGCTGTTAGTATCACAGCATACTAACATCTCATTTATTTAGCATATAATTTAGTGTATTTAGTAAGTGAATTTTCAAGGTAAAATGAAAGGTTGCACTTAAGATACATAGGATTTTTATTTTAGCCATTTTTGATGAGAGTCTTCTAAAGATGTGATAGGTACTACACCTTTTAATATTTATTTATTTTGAGACAGGGTCTTGCTATGTAGATTAGGCTGGCCTTGACTTAACTATGTAGCCTAGGCTGGCCTTGAATTTGTGGTGATTCTCTTGCCTCAGCCTCCTGAGTGCTGGGATTGCAGGCATGTGTCAACACACTTGGCCTTTGTCCTACTCTTAAAATAGAATATACTGAACAGAATGTTATGTTTCATGTGTGATTCACTTATGATTATATTATTGTAATATTTAGTGTAAGGATATCATCATGGTCTGTAGATAGAATTAACAGGCCTTACTAAATGATGTTTTGTTGGTTAACTTTGGTCTGATTTTTTTCTCTTTCGCTCTAACTTTTGTTTATTGTTACTGTTATGTTTGAGAATGCTAGGCCCTGTAATCAGCATTGTTACATACTTGTTTGTTTATTGTGGTCCTGGGAGATTGAACCAGACCTTTTCATTTTTTTTTATTTTGAGACAGGATCTCCTGTCTCAGCCTCTGGAGTACTGGGTTTACAGGCAAGGCCACCACACCCACAATTACATGTTTCCTTGTGGCTGACTTGTATTAAGTGCCAGACACTGTCAAGTTCACAGCACTTTTAGTTCTCACAGTAGCTCTAGAAGTAGGAGGTTAAGTACATGTCAGAATCCAAGTTATCTGTCTTGAAAGCTTGTTACAAATGAATTAGAAGTTGTGTGAAGAAATGTATTACATTCCTTTGGAATTACCCTCACCCCTTCCAGTCCCTGCTCACCTTAACCTCAACTCAAAGATTACCCTTTTTTTTTAGAAGTTTTCTTGGCCTGAATTGATGTCTCCTCTGTGACTCTGTTTTTTCCTTTTTTTGAAACAGGGCTTCCCTATGTAGTTCTTGTGGTGTTCCTCCTGACTCAGCTTCCCTAGTGCTGGGATTACAGATGTACACCACTGTGCCTGGCTCCCCTGTGTGACTCTTTTCCCTGATATCAGACCTAACACACTAACAGGAATTTGTTGTAAATATATATGCTGTAAACTCCATGAAGGCAGGATCCTTGTGTCAGCGTGGATTATGAGCTTTTTGACATTTTACTGAATGAATACTGCACAGCTGGAG